TATCCTGTTTTTAATTTTAGGTACAGGTTGAAGACATGGGACTAAATTAAATTGGGACTGAACAGTGCGGATCTCTGCACCGCAACTTTAGCGCTGGGTGAATCCCACAAGGGTGGACGTTGTACAGAACCGACCCTGAATGCGCTCGATGCAGCCATATCTGGGTGGAATCGGGGTACCTAGTGAAACAACCATTCCCCCATGTGCACTATTTCGAAATGGCCCCAATCACAACTTGTTCCCAGTCTGGTGTTGGATAATTATGACTCTAGCAATCATTGCTCCCAAACTTCCCATTTCGGTGTATCGAACCTCTGGCCCCAAAGCGAGTGGGTCACACAATTCTCCCAAGAGCGAGAGAGCAAACCTGCCCCAGCCAAAAACAGATTCAGCATCCGTTTTGCAGCGTCCATCTTTCTCTCTGACCTCCAGGTTTGTCCTCTCAGATTCATCAGTCTTTACGGCATTGCCCATGACGCCTCCGCCAGCAAAGTTCAGAGATGATGTTACGATGCGTCTACTCCAAGGCACTGCCCCCATTATCAAGATCATAGGTACTGCCCTCATTGCCTGGAAGACTGCATGTGTAATCACCAGCTCCGCATATCCCCTCATGAAGGTCTCCTCAGGATCAATGGAGCCAACCTTCTACCGAGGGGATCTCATATTCCTGTGGAACCGACAGCACAGGATTCACGCTGGTGATATTCCCGTGGTGTAGTTCGACGGTCGTCCACTACCGATGGTCCATCGAGCGATTCAGGTCTCTCAACAGGAGATGGGTGGGGGTTCGTTCTCAAAGTATATCCTCCGCTCTTGCTCTTTGCGCAGGTCCAAAGCTTACTTACAAGGACAAGGCAACTCATCTTGACCAAAGGTGATAACAATGCTGTCGACGATACCGCGTTTACCCAGAGGGCTAGTCTTTTGTCTACCGCGAGAATGTGGTGGGGGTTGGTTCGTGGCTATGTTCCTTATGTTGGGTGGACTAGTCTTCGGCTCAAGGAGAGTCCGTTGATCTTGTACATAGTCGCGGCTGTATTGTTTGCTGTTGGCGTGGTATCATAGACCACTCAGCGACACGGATACCAAGAGTGAAACACATGGGCGAGTGAGACACCCCAAAATACTATACAAAATGCGATAAGTTACAACTTCATATCAATAACCATGACTCTTTTGGATAGATACTAAGCTTGTATAATCTAGATAGCATTTCTAACCTATCTGAGCAGTATAGCAAGATTATCAGTAGTGACGGAGACATATATGTCTCAAGTGTCAAAAGTACGTCGTATTTATGGTAAAGTGTTAAAACAATAGTCTAAATAGGCCAAAATCTAGATATGTTATTCCTTTCGCTTGGAAAAATGCTTATTATATAATTCAACCAAAAACAAACCGCTACTGTAATGGTTGAGACATAGAGGAATCAAAATATGGCATTTAATATGGTGTTTTGGGGTTGTCCTTACCAATTCCCCTCACTCGCCCGTGGATGATAACGTTAACTATTTGTTTCTATTTTGACTAATTAATTCTGAAATGGCGGACACATTGAGATAAACTATTTTGGAAATCGAATTTTATAATTTTATGAAAGGCCATCGGAATCTCTCCGTTCTCAGTCGGGACTGTTTCGCGGCCTAGTCTACTCGGAAGCTGTCCACCACTTGTATCCACCAACCGACGGGGTTTGCTGTTTGCTCCAGCGTTGGTTCTGGCGGCTGGGCACTACGCCTTTGTTGGAGGACACTAATGGCCTTAATTTCTGCCCTTGGCCCGGGTGGAGCCGTGTAATCAGATAACCTCGCCAACAAATAATACGACCCTCCACCCGGCGCAAAAGGGGGATGAGGTTAGCTCCTCCCATGATCCCCTGCCACTGAGCCCAACTGATCGAACACTTCCTCTTCAGACCGGGTCAAAAGCCATGGCATCGACACCAACCATCCTCAAAAGCCAATCGCAATTCGGCCGGAACACATTGCGTCGTGCCCCCATCAGGCTCAAGCAACACAGTAAGAGCTGGTCCGGAGGCGACTTCACCATCTTAACTTGCCCAAGTGAAGGAGGCTCCGTTACCAAATTATTCTCCGTCGACGGTGATTTCGGATCATTGAGTCAGCGACGGCACTTTCGAGATGCCTCAGGTCTGCCGCGTTTTGAACTCCATCGTAAAAAGTCCGGTGTGACGTGGTTTGTTCACCTGCCTGGTGTAAAAAGCGATGCCGAGCCCATTGCCGCGATCGCGACGAAATGGAGTGCTTTCAAAGACAAGTTTGACGTCCACATCAAGAATGCCGCCGCAAGCGGCGAGGACACGACACTAGAAGTCCGCGGACAGGATATATGGAAAGTGGAGACGCATGCCTATCACAACGGTGCGCTGGCTATGAGAGCAAAGCTTACGGATGTACTCTCGGTATATGTGCCGGGTAAACGCCCTGAATGGGAGTTGACGGTTGCAGAAGGCATGGACCTCCCGTTGGTAGGGCCCCTACTACGAGATATCCCATACGATGAGTCTAACAGTGCGTTTGTAGGCGTCTATTATCGGTGTGCTCCTGGCCACCTTGCTTAAGTACAGTAGCATGCCATTGTCGTATTCTCCTAAAAACCAGAAAAACGACGCTGAATCGGAAAAATGCGAAAAGGGAAGACGCCGTAATCGACGGCGAAGTATATGGTTTCTCTATTGAGCTTATGACAGATCCTCGATGTCAGATACAGTTGGCTGTGCAGAAAAATGTACATTCGATCATTATCATTACTCTTATAATCTCTTTTGTAACGACTATATTCGGTTGACAACACTGTACGTATATACTGTAAGAAATTTGTACCTCCATGTTACGATAGTCGTTTGGTGTCCCTGCGCGCCAGTCTCGGACGCGGAGATCTGAGTCGCAGCCCCGCTTCAAGCTCTCGGGTCATTGGTCGTTCCAAGCCATTGTGTTAGCTGGTACGGACTGCGGAGTACGGAGACACCCAGGCGGCCCACCAAATCATGCGGTGATGTGCAGGGATCTACCCGTCTGATGTGTGCTTCGAACTTGCGCCATCGACCCAGAACCTAACTGGCTCCTCTAAACTCTAAATCGCAAGATCGACACTTAGCTTAGCAACCGTGGCAGGAGCCTGGTTAAGAATAAGGCCAATCCACCTCAAAGAAACGTGGCTGATATAGTTTTAATGAATAGTTCCCGATTTGGTCTTGTTCCAGTAGCATAAATAGCTGGCCAGGATCAATAGTCGGCCTATTACGGACTAGTGTCGCGCTCGGAGCGCCAGGACTTGGCCACAAGCTTGGCGTGATTAATGACGATCTACATAACTCTCTTCCAGATCGGGTGTAGGATATCTCAATCGGCTAAATTGCAGAAAGTCCAGTCAGTTCTGATCCTTCGCGGTTGAAGTGGCGGGTCAAAAAGTGTTACAGTAGCAGCTTTTGAATTTTGATGCCTCGCATTCCTACCGTATGTTGTATCCTCTCATATTCAACCCTCGGACTTAGTCCCATATGTGGAATGGTCAGGTCCACTTTCGACATCGTCTCTGTCTGTCTTGGTCTACTTAATGGTAACCGTACAAGGCATAATTGAGAAGAGGACGAGCACCCTGTCCCACACATAGTCGAGCTGATGCATGGTGGTGTGCATTGGACTCGAATCCTTGCCAGAAAATAACGCATCTTGGAATTCTAAGAGATAAGATAGTGATTGAGTGGACAACTAAGGTATAAAAACGTCCTCAACAGCCGGCCTTCAGATACTCATAACAACCAAACCAGTCTTCTCGTTCAATCAACCACTCCAGTTTTCCGCACCACTTCTTTCTCTGTACAGTACCTGTACCCCACAAAATGCACACCAAGCCCATCATCGCCGGCCTCTCCGTTGCCGCCCTCTCTCTTCTTCCCTCCTGCCCTGCACCTCACTCAGGCACAAGGACAACAAAACAAAACTCTATAATTAAACCAATGGACTAATCCCATACTTTCAGAACAATTCATCACCACTACTTCACTCCATACGTTGGAATTTTTAAACATCAATTCTAAAGACGGCACGATGCTAGACTGGCTCCGAAAACTCTTCGGCGCCGACAAAGTTGCCCTAGACCGGAGGGATCAGCAGCATCGAAGTCGGAAGCGAAGTAAACGGATGCGCGCGCGTGAACGAGAACTACGTTTGCACAACCAGAGGCAGGAGTTGAAGGGCGGGAAGCGCAGAACACCGTTCTTTTGGGGATCACCAGGTGTTACTTCCCCCGTACATCAGACAAGGATTTTTAGTGATTGAGGGGGTTTACTTTTCCGTAGTACTAGACACATTCCGACCAGTCTCACCGCCTTACGCACTGTCAACCTGGATCCTCGATTTTGCTAGTCGGCGGTGAAAACATACGTCATGTGATCAAATTCTTTTTCCAATAAGTCGGAAGTCAGCACCTCTTACCTTTTACTTTTCAAGCCATCCCACTTCAGTCAGCCCTTCATCACTTTTCTCTGCTCTCTTTTCAGTCTGAGCACTCGCCAGAAGGGTCTGAGAACCAACAGAACTGGTGGATCTCAGGTGGCGGTGAGGATTGGCTGGGAGTGCAGCTCGCCCCACTTCCCCGAATCACTCCTCACTCGCCACGACCACCCCACTATCCACGGCTGTGACATCATAAGGTCCTTTGCCACCTGTCGCCCACGATGTCGCTGTCGCAAGAGAGTCTCAGCTCTGCCGTTTCGTCCGCCGGCTTCTCTACTTTTGCCGAGGCAAAATTATCCTTGCAGGCGACCCTCGCAAGCTACCAAGCGCTAAACACCGGCGACGATACGAAGAACTTCCTTGAGACTTGCTTCAAATACCTTCCCCCGGCTGGACAGGTCAATTTGTCAGAGGATGTTTCCGGCTGCCGCAATGATGATGAACTCCGCCAGCTAGCCGCCAGCATTGATACCAGCTTGCTACGCCCTCTTCTGTCTAAGGGTGGGAAGACCCCTATCATCACTCCATCCCCCCGTATCGGCTTTGACGATTCAGTTGAAAACCTTAACTCCCTCGATATCACACCAGCAAGTCGAAATGACCAAGAACGACTTCGCCGAAACTGTCTTAGACGAGATGGATATCGGTGTACTATTACGAAGAGCTGAAGCTCTAATCACGACTTTCCCCCTGGCGAACCAATCGGCATTTTATAAGCTGTTCACATTCTTCCGTTCGCCCTTGGCAGTTTCACGAATGACGATGAAAGACGGCGAAGCTCTGAGGTGTGGGTAAACATTTTTCGTTACTTTCCAAGCCTCCGGTCCACCCTCAATATGTCACCTGAAGATGTGAATCGAGAGGACAATATCATGATGATGATCAGCCCCCTTCATGAAGAGTTCGGTCTCTTCCACTTTGTCCTTGAGGACACTCCGACTCCCAATCGCTACCGTACCAAACTATTTCCACGCTTCGCATCTATTTACACACCCTTGTTACCCAGCGACAGGGTTATAAAATTGACTAGCCACGACCATCGCTTACATCTTCCTGAAGCCAAGTACTTACAGTTGCATGCTGCCATTGGCAACATCTTGCATGCAAGTGGCCGGGGAGAAAGCATTGAAAAGCTCATACGGGATCTAGGAGAGACAGGCGGTTCAGTATTATCAAAGGATGGCAGTACGAACATCAGCGATCTGCTCTCGGTCAGCCACCTTTCGCTGCTAGCCTCAAATTCGCAACCAACAGATAGTAAGCTGCAGCAGCAACGTGCTCGGGCTAGATTGCCAGGAACAGAGAATGAGAAACCCAAATTAGGTTAGCAGACTAGATACGAACGCTGGTCTTCGATGAGTGTCCTCAAATTAGAGTATTTCCCTGTACCTTTTAGAGGCAAATAATTCGTCAACTTCTTAGTATTTCTCCATCTCCTCTGGAGACTCGAACAGTCTAGCGGTCAACAACTATTCGTATGGTGGAATTGAGTTGCCTCTACGTGAGTGACAATATTACCCGAGACCATCCTGTGCTCAGCCAAAGGATATTTTGTTTCCACGTGTACGAGGGTGTTCGATGGATTCACGCCTTGTTGGGATAGTATTGACGACAAGCACTGCGGGTGGTCGAGCCATGGAGGTCGTCGAAATGGCTGAGATCGTCCGTGTGGGAGGAGTCCAAATCGTTTACTTTGATAGCATCATGCAATCACCTACGTCTAGGACACACGCCTCCGACCTTACCGACTTCACCAACTTCATCATCCAAAATCCCTATAAGGGTAAATTCTAATAAAGTGGCTCTACCTACCTTAGAGGCTGCCTCGAAGGGGCAGTCAAAGCAGGAGTCGTATTAGGAAAACCTTCTCAGTGACAGACAAGCACTGTTCTACTAGATGCATATCGTAGGTGATGTTGAGCTAGATTCATTTTCAGATAAAAAGGAAAACAACCAGGTCAAGATAATTCACAGTTGACAATTTTTACTGATGCCAAGGCATCAATACCGAATGTCCCCGGGTGAATAAGGTAGGAAAATGGTTTCCATGCGTCTTTTATCATTTTTGTATTCCTTGCCTTAAGGCTCCCTAAAATGACCAAACTATGTAGACATGGGGTATTATTTTTGCCTGGTACTTGATGCTTTTGTATACAACTTCAAATTCTAGCCCTAGAAGAGTTACCTGCATAAGCAAGGTAACCTTGGAAGTATCCTGAGATCACCTGCATTAGCAAGTACATAAATTAACCTTTACAGTTTCAAGTTAATGAGAATTTCTATAAATATCGTTAATTAGCTGGATTTGTTTATGGTGTGTTACATTCAGCCTGCATATATAGTGCCTCGAAAGTAATTGCTTAACACAAAATAAAACAATCTAAGACACCAAAATTCGAAGCACAATGGAGATTGTCATAATATACTTTGCAAAACAGTCAACTTACCTAGATAGAGATTAAACAAGAAATATGAAGCATATGAAGTGGACGAATACTTTCCGATGTTAATTCATGCAAGCCGCAAGCTACACTAGATAGCATAGGTAGTAGGGAATGTGAATTGCCAGCTAATTGACATCTACTATTTTAAGACCCAAAGCGGGTGATATGCAAGCTAATTAAGGAACATTTGAACAATCCCTGTCAAGTGCAGACTGCAGATCTCTGCATCACTCCTCGGCGGTAATGCACAAGCCCCATTGGTCGGTGGTGTCAACAGCTACAATGAATGAGATCTCCAACAGCTGGCTCAAAGCGCTTCGCACATCTCTCCAAATGGCCCCGTTCTGAGACCAAGCTTTATATCCGGACGCCTTCCGCCGAAATGATGGGTTTCTTCTCTGTTTCAGACTGGCTTGACCGAAAGTCCTGGGCGGACTCGCACTGTTTGCTCTGATTTCTATTTGCTTTCTTTTGTTATTTTCAGCTTGCCTCCAGCGGTATTTGCAAGGATTCGGTTGGAGACACCATTTCCCCTCCAGACCCTTATTCGTCATCATCGTGGCTACTACCCAATCCGCGGTCTTTCCCACTTGTTTGTTTCTGGATCATTGCAGAAGGGGGCTGCGGACTTGCAGATTTGTCGGCTGGTACTCGTCGCCCGTCGTTTGCAGGTTCCTGTTAGAACGCATTAATATCAACCTGGCCTATATTTCTCCCGCTCGATTATTATTCTCCTCCCATTAGATGAATGTCACCTTTTGCTTCTTCTGGGGGGCGATATCAGAGCAGTACAAGTCAATACCACGCAACTATCTCACACACATCATGGCGGGAATCGTCAACGGACCTCTTTCTCTTTTCCGCAAGTCGGACTCTTCAAAACCTCTCCATGCTCGATGGGGGGATGTGTCCATCTCCGTACCTACAGATGGCTCATGGAACCAGTACGATAATCCCCATCGACCCGTCAAAGAAAGATCAGCGTATGGGCCAGGATACGTGCCCGACTGTTCTCCGCAAGACCGGACTCCCCGCCCAGTGAAAGAGGAGGACCCAGAAGACGACGTCAGAAGCGTTTGCAGTGCAGCTTCAACAAGCTCGCGGCGGAGCTCACTATCTCTCGGAGCCCTGCGACCGGGCCGGCTTTCAGTGCGCCTCGCCTCGCGTCCCAAACAGTTGCGGGGCGAAACACAGATAGAAAGAGAATCCCACTCCGAGCAAAAGCGAAATGAATTTGCATATCGACCAATTCGGCAAGACTACACCTCCGAAGTAATCGAAAAGACAATTCAGCCCAACAATCGCTTCAAGTACATTCCGACAAACGGACGGTACCTCCAAAGCTCAGGCACTGAGACTCCGCGCAGCCAATCTGTCAACTCGCCCCGCAGCCCCCGCCCGCGGCACGGCTCGTTGTCCGAGTCTAGTGATCGGCGATACAGTGGTCGCGACCGCGATCACTACACCCCCGCCGCCAGAGGGAGCGCGTACTACGAGGAAGACCGTCGCAGTTTGCACTCTACCAGCTTCCGTGATAGCTCGGACAGCTCTGGTTCACGGTGGAATTATGGGCTACCGCCTAGACGGCGAACGTCATCTTTTGTTCCAGCTGATAGCAAGAGGGCTTCTTCAATCTCGAAGTCTATGACATTGGCCATGGTGCCTGATCCTGATGATCTCTATGAGTAATGGGTCTATCTGTATTTCGGTTGCTGATGCGTTTCGATTTTATTGAGCATCATTGCACGGTGTTGGGTGTTTTTAGTGGTTATTGGCCTTTCTAATAGCGCCTCAGAATGGAACCATTTACTTACTTTTTCACAATTCATAAGTTTTGACAACAGTAGCTTGCTAGATTTTATTTGATATTGCTTCCTTGGTTAGTTTTGACCTTGGAATTTATGTCTGGCTCGATCTCAGCCCTCTAGTGGCGTCCAATTCAAGCAGTTCTTAATAGCATTCCAATTGGCGGGTTGTCCCACCATCTATCGTGGAATTCATGCCCTGGCATGAATGGCTGCCAATGCCTGGGGCGACAATCTTTGATATATCACCATGACGACATATTAACGTATTTTGCCCCCAGCCAATAGAAAACCCCATACAGGAGCATCGATTTGAAACAATTTAATTCTCGAATTGAACATTGGACTCTTAACAACAGCGAACTGACTATCGATGTCATCTTAACCATGGCAGACGCAGTTGTCCAACTTCGGTGTGGTGTAAAGGCAAGTATATTCTGTCCAGATATTCTACATCAAAGCTGATTTACCCTGGATTAATAGAACGACCCCTGGGGAAAGAAAGGCAAAGAGTCGATTGTAGCTCAGCTATGGTCAAAAACTCCAAACAATGGACCAATCGATGACTCCAAGCATTATTCTGAAGTAAGCTTCTCAAATTATTTACTACTATAAGCACAGTCATGTTGACTTTTGAGCAGATGTGGATGGGCACATACCCTAAAAATCCATCATGCTTGCTTTCCACGGGAGAACAACTCGGGGAGTACCTGAAGAAGCACCCTGAGCTAGTGGGCAAGTCCGTTCACGATCGATGGGGTCCGGAGATTCCATTTCTGCCAAAGGCAAGGGGAAAGAGCCAAGAATTATAGTGTGCAGCCACGAAGATAACTAACACTGATCCAGATTCTATCTTTCAGCAAAGCACTTCCCCTACAAATCCATCCAAACCTGCAGCTCGCCGCACAATTGAACAAAGAACAGCCTGAAAAGTATAGCGACTCAATGCACAAGCCAGAGATTGCAATTGCACTCTCCAAATTCGAGCTCTTCGCTGGCTGGAAGCCCCTGAAAGACATCCAAGCGCTGTTCCAGATGAACCATCTAGCAAAATACATCCCCAAATCAGGAGAATTCAATGACGAGACCCTACGCCAAGTGTGCAAGGCTCTACTCAGCGCGCCGGCACAGGAAGTCGAACAGACAACAAAAGACCTGCAAGCCATCCCCGAATCCCAGTTCGGCGCATATACCTACATTCCTGGCCTCCTGGCCCGTCTAGCAAAGCAATACGGCGAAGGCGACAATGGAAACCTGGTCGCCGCCCTGCTGATGAACTACATGACGCTGGGACCGGGAGATTCCGTCTTCGTCCCCGCAGACAGTATCCATGCCTACCTGGAAGGTGATATCGTGGAGTGCATGGCGCGGTCAGATAACGTCATCAACACGGGATTCTGTCCGGCTGCAGAGCGCGACAGTGTCGAGTTGTTCGGACAGGCTCTGACCTTTGTACCGCATAGTTCAAAGGATGCGCTGCTGCCGCGTAGAAAGAGCGACAAGGGCATGAATGGCAAGACGGATGTCTATGCACCGCCTATCAGTGAATTCTCGGTGTTGTGTACTACTCTTGGCGCTGGGGAGAATGAGACGCACAAGGCCATTCTTGGGCCGAGTTTGATGATTGTTACCAAGGGTTGTGGTCAGATGAAATTCCCTGGTAATCAAACCGCTGAGCTAAAGGAGGGATATGTTTTCTTTGTGGGGCAGGGTATTGCGCTGGACTTTGTTACTGACAAGGGCATGGCTGTTTATCGGGCGTATGCGGAGTAAAAGAGGCTCAGGTGGGGATTTTTGGTGAGTCATTTTTATTTTCAGGAAATGGGAGGCAATAGGTATAAATTGTGTGATATTTAAAAAGTTTGAAAAAGAGAATAGTTTTGAAAATCGGGGATTGGAAGATTGAAGTAGGGCTTGCGTTGTCTCAGATTGTTGTATGCGGGCGTTGAAGCCCTAACTGTGAGTTCTTCCAGATCTGGCAAGACACTCGTCAAATCAAAAAGGCCGGAAACTCATCAACACCCAGACCTGCAGACCTTTCGTAATCCCGGGCCAACAAGCGGTGATGCCCTTCTGATTTATACTTGCTCAAAGTGCTCGGTACAGTGTTGGATTAAACGGGGGATATCATTTGCTGATTACGAGGTACTGTTGATGAACCAGTTAACGTACGACAACATTGTTGGTGACGGCAAATGCATCAATGTGATTTGTTCATGCAGAATTTTTAATTTAGAAATTAGGGCGCATTTACAAAGGTCTAGCCCGGCAGATCAGTCTGCTTATGCAGGTTGATCGAACTAATTCGGGCTAATTTTATCGCCTTTGGAAATCTATCTATAGCTAATTGATACTATATTTATTTCCGCGAGTCGCTCAAGATATTTTTGAAACAGGGACCGTGTGTCAGGATGGTACTAAGCTTCGTTGATTCGTTTCAGTGTCTTATATATCTATATCCTCGCGGTTTCAAATGGTCGTTAGTATCGGCTCATAGGATTGAGGCTCAATTATAAAATCTTACTGGTCTTAATACAAGATCACGGTGGAGGTCAAAGTCGTCTTTACTTCGGTTCTTTGTTTACTTTTGGATATACCTATACCCTGAATGTCCTCGCATCGGGCTATGTCAATTAATTCTTCTCTTCACCCCCGCTCTGATAACAACTACTCTTCTCGCACCCCCGTCATTATCATTGGTGCAATAGCTGGCAGCCTCATCTTCCTAGCAAGTATGCAGCCCGAGCCTCAGCCCAGAAGCAAGCTAACCTAAACCAGTGGCTGGAAGCTTACTATATCTCTTTTCTCGCAAAGAACGGGCCAGGAGAAGGAACGCCCAACAGTCCACGGAATTCTCCCCTCTCGAGCCGCCACCAGCCTACAAAACGGACGAACTAGTCACCTCCAGAGGTCTCCACTCCCAACCCCGACCCTTGTCTTCCTTTGCGCCGGACTATAGTCGCCAGGCCCAGCACGCGCAACAGTACCAACAGCAGCTCTCTCGCCCTTCATACGATCAACCCCCAGCATACCCCACACTGCCAACATATGATCCATCACGATACCAACCTGTTCGGCCAATGTCCATGGTGGGCGATATTAACGCTCACACCTATACGTATAACCCCACCAATCATGCCAATCCACATCCTGGTCCCTCTTCCCGCTTGAGTGCAGTCCACTACAGTGACGCTAGACTAGCCACCTCGCGGCCTGTGTCAATGGCGGGCCATGGCCCTCCAATTGGCCCCGTAGCTGCTCCAACTAGGTCGAGGCACCAGGCAGCTATGCCACCTCCACCGGAGCAGAACACCAGACAAGAACGCAGGGACAGGAGGGAGAGGAGTGTATCTGAGCCAATACCGTCGGGCCAGGCCGCCCCGAAACAACCTAAACCCGTCCTGTCGCGGCTGATCACCAATTTCCGTTGAGATTGTGACAGTGGCTTGGGCTTGTTTTCTTGTTTTTACGACTATCACGACATGGGCGCCTTCTTTTTGGAAAATGTGACTTGGGCGGTTTTATTTATTTTACTTGATTTAGGTTCTCTTCCAAAAATCAAAACTTCCAACTAGTGGAAGATTCTATCATAGAAAGATTCTGTAGATAAAGTACTGTCGATCGTTGACACCTGGTCTGTGCTATGGGATCTCCGTTCAATATTGATCATCCCGAGTTTTTCCCCTTTCACACAATCTTGGCGCCTACAAGAGTATCCCAGCTCAAACGCCTCTGATAATCCCTGAGCTCCTAGTAATTCCTCTTTCAAAAACTGCATCTTCGAGGTACTTTGTGTACTCTGTCCACAACGCCCATTCTCGCCAACTAGACGATGAATATTGGTCCTGGAACTCCACACTCCACTTCGTTGCAGGGATTCAGATCCGTCACAGTGAAACAGTGCTTTTTTGCGCCTTTTTGCGCCTTTTCGCCTTGAGAGGGGGCCATACCCCCTCTTTTGATCCCTGTCTTTCACCTGGTATTTTCCTTTCTCGTCGTCCCCGGCAAATGACTGGTCAAGAAGAGGCTACTTCGATGTGTTCATCACGCCCATTGTTGCATCAGGGCCCCTGAAATCACGGAATAAACCTGCCAGTCGAATTGTCTGGCCCCAACTCCGATCCTCTATTGAGGGTCTTTGTTCTTGTGAATGCAGATCCCTAGACAAGCGCCATGCCAAGACGACGAACTACGAGGATGCGTTGAGACAGACACACTATATGCAACCTATGGCCGACCCGCGTCAAATCCGACAACGCAAGTTGACTGCGCCGCACCTAACAACTGACTGTCTATCCCGCTGAGAATGACTAGGGGAACAGGGATTGCAAATACCCCTCCCACATGCATTTTCTACGCACACTCCAGCTATGAGAGCCTCTCATTTACGGCCGCCCGCCTGCATTCAGCCGGCCAACTGTTGGCCCTGCAGTTCGCTCTTGTTTTTCTCCTTTTTTTTCCTTTCGAAGCGCTGTTGTTTTTACTAGAGACAGGATTGTCTCGATTCTAGATTCCGCCCTCGGGGTCACCGCAGAGGGGTTGTACCAGACCACCGGGTTCTCTCCCGTATCTCTAATCACTCGCTGGGTCACCAACACCATCCCCGTCAGGCACTTCATTCGGAAGATCTTCGCTCTTCTTGGTCAACCAACGGATATGCAGTGGTTGGCTAGTGCGCCTCCATGGACATCTCGTTTTGATATAACTTCAACACACGCGGGCGATCTATCTGCCCTGGTCACCTTCTCTCTATCTCTCTTTGTTCCTCGACCGTGCTTGACTTGTCGCCTTGGGGGAGAGAGCCCATGTGGGAAATTTGATAAATTCTGAGATGAGCACCGCACTAGGGAGCGATTTGTCCTCCCTTTTGTAAATTTGAACCCTGAACGCGTCAACCTCCAGTCCCCATGAAAGATTGGTTGAAGGCCATGGCGACTTTCATGAAGAAGTTCAAAAGGAAGCGCAGAGTGTCCACGGAACTCCACTCTCGCTGGGGTGATGTTTCTATTACCTATCCCACACAAGGGTCCTGGAACCAGTGGGATCAATCCTCTGGTTTCGTCGCGAATGCGCCAGCGAGGGAAAACACACAGTCTGAAGAAAATCAAAAATATCTCCCGGCTGGCTCCCTACGCCAGCCGAGTTCTAGTGCCTCGAGCAGACGGTCGCGAAGCACAGGCCCCCGAGAATACCAAGTGGGAGATCCCCCATCCTTCCCAACTGGATATTTTGTTCAAAACATACGGCGTCGCGTTGGAGATAGAGATACCCACACACCGCCAGCTCATACACCACCAAGTCAAGGACTCGGCCTTGGTGATCTGAGGGGCGGGCCAAATCGCGGACGTTCAAGCTCTATTATTGACGATTGCACCACCGATGAGTCGTGCGACGAAGAAAACGAAGAAGAAGAACGAGATATTATGGGCCCACGAATTAAGTTAAGCCCCCGAGAATACGGCGGAGATATGTCGCACACAGCACGCGACGATCCCGAAGATTTTGATATCCCAGCCAAGTCTCCTCCGCTCTCTGTGACTTCGCGCATGCGCCGTTGCAGCCTCCAAAGCTGTGCAACAGAACCCACAGCGTCCATATCCGGTGGCACCAACTCAAGACGAACGAGCTGTACTGCTGCATCCTCTACCTCTGCCCCCTCTATGCCACCCTCGACACCTCGAGTCGCATACAACACCCCAAAACAGCCTCCTTTCCCAGAGAAAAGATACCCTTCCCGTACGAAACATCGGGAACTTGAGTCTGCGCCTCCACAGGAAATGGTGCCTTCTTATGATGAGCTCTATGGTTGACATGCCCTGGACAATCTATGTCCAAATAGAAGTCTATATGTGGTGGTTTTTTATTTGTTACTTTTCTTTTTGGGGGCGACCGATCAGTCTTGTTCGAAAGCCATGTAGTCGTTGGATAGGATTCGCCTCAATTTATTATTAATTTTGCATTATGGCGGCTTTTATTTGCAATTTAGTTATTTCATATAATTATTTGAACAGAGTGTTAAGGAAATTTACGTATGTGTATCTGTGGTGGACTTGGTCTTGTCACTTCAAAATCCGGGTGTCTTGTCTTCTCCCGGCCCTAGCAAGAGGGGCTTCCCTTGGCAGATCAAAACAATATTTTTCTCCCTTTTACAGCCAGGAGATGTTACAGCCGGGAGATTCCGATAGCCGTATCCAACAAGTCCTGACTGGATTTTGCGTCTTCCCTCAGATGAGGGGGTGAACAGGCGCCCGTGCATTATGCAGACGGTATCACAGTCACAACCGCTCTCACCAATCAAGCGTCAAAGTTCATCACACTCTGTGCGCCTGCAGCATGTCCACTGGAAACGGATGATAGGGTGATCACTCCACCCACACCAACTGTTCCTCGATTCCCCAGCCAGGGTGCGGTCACCAACCCAGCCTGTAGGCGGCGTTCTCTAAGCGCCGAGGACCAACACTGGGAGGAAGAGAATGTGCTTGATTCGACCGGCGCACCCTTTCCGTTGCTTCGCCCAAGTACTCACAACTCTGCAGGTGCTTGGATTGTGCATCACTCCCTGTTCTGCGAGCTCCTTCGACTGAATTACTCCACCTGGCCGTCACATCCATACGGAACGGAGCGTGAGCTGCTCGCAGTGAAAAAAAGAAGCTTTCCCGCCCCGAGCAAACTCTTACAGTCCTTGGTTACAATTTTGCCGTCTCTCATGCTAACGTGAGATCCTTCTATCCGGCACGCTGCCCAATCTCTTCCCACCTCCTTGGCGGTCGCTGTAAGAACAGAAGCTGTCGGACTCTCTGTTCACTCCGGCTCATCATGATCGGGCGAAGTGGTGACAGTTCAAGGTCCTCTAGGATGCTGGCTTTTTTCCTGGCTGTGATTTTGCTGAATAGTCCAGCTCCAGTGGTTTTCGGATTGAAAACCACACCGGGTTCGCCCTGCACAGATGTGTGCGGTACCACGACCAACACTACATCTTCCGAGATTACCTGTTTGGATCATTCGTACAATCAAACATCTGTAGGGAAAAGTTTCAAAAACTGCATCTCCTGTCAGTTGGACAGCGATTTCAATGATCTGAACACTGGAGAATCGGACGTGAACTGGGGGCTTTGTATGTTGTACCACCATCCAGAGATCGCAGATTGTGCTTTGCCGCTCAGATCTAACCAATCGAACCAGATAACCTCCGTTACGCTTTTTCAACGTGCGTGTTTGGATCTCCAGACTCGATCTCAAATGTCTCGTCGCCGTGCCCAGTCGCATGCGATGGCGTGCGTTTAGCAGTCGAAACCCATATTGAAAACCCAGACACGTCGAATCTGAACTCGTGGTGTGAAACCCCGTCGTTCGCAGATAACGTCGTCAATACTTGCGAGTTCTGCTACAACTTGACAAGCTCCCAAGTTTACATGGCAAACTGTACGTATGCCCTGCAACCCATTCCTGCGTCCATATGATATCAGCGAATCCCAAGCCAAAAGTTCAAAGAAAACCACAACTAACAACCATCATCCAAATCCAGTCCTCGAGTCCATCCGCTACAACTGCCATTTCAAGACAGTAACGGGCAAGACCTTCAACATAGCCCCAACAAGAATCTTCAGCCAATCCCTACTCCCCTCAAGTCTGTCTCTCGAAACGCCCGGTGCAGACTCCTCAAACCTGAATCTGGGAGTGGTGATTGCCGTGCCGATCGTAGGATTCCTAATCCTCGTCTCGGCGCTCGCAGTATGTTGCTTCTTCTTCATCCGGCACCGACGCAAGAAGGCCCGTCGGAACCGTCAAGCGCCTCATATGTACAACAACTGGAGCGATGCGTCGCCGCAGCAGCAGCAGCAAGCCTGGGCTGAGCAGCAAATGTATAATCCTGGCGGATATGGGCACGGGTCAGGCTTTGGGTTTGTTGATAATGATGGCCGCGGGCAGGAGCTTGCGTATGGTCATGGCCAGGACCAACGTTATCAAAGTCAGCAGTACCAGCAGCACTTCCAAGGTCAAGATAAGTCGGGTTTTTCGCAGGATATTGTTGAGGAAAATGCTCAACAGCGGTACCAGCAGCAGAATGCTCAGGTTCCTGCCCACCTTCAGACCTTTGACCCGGATCAGAAGGGCCAGCATGCCCAGGTTCCTGCCCACCCTCAGACCTTTGACCCAGATCGAAAGGACCCTCAGCAGTGGCAGTGATTGTTGTGGCAGGTTATACCCGGTTGTGTTTACCTTGTTGCTGTATAGCATTGGTGGAATGTCTGTGGATAGTTAGAGTCAGTTGTGGCTTGGATGTAATGAGATCAGGATATCGGCTCACCTCATTGTTGACGGCGTTTGGGTTTCCTGTTTCTTGTTTTACGGAGTTATCCTACTCCAGGATCGCGTCAATATATCCCCGACATCTTGCAATGTCTGCATGTTATAGTCAAATGGAGAAAAGAGTGTCCAGCACGGAAAATCCTCTGTAGAATATCATAATGCACTTAAAATAAAGAGTGGGAAGAACATATACCATTATAGAACAACACGAAGTATCACCGAGAAGGGCGGCAAGAGGACTTATGTATCAACCGTCAACCCCCCTCTACCTACATATACACACTTAACTTGATCCGAAAATAGCATCAACAAGCCGCCTAGGAATTGTAACGGCACAAGCCAAACCTACGCAAGCCAAACTGTCAGATAATACGAGAAGATCGGCTAGATAACCTCGAGGCGACAGCCTTTCGTGTTCCAGCGCCGCCGCAGATTGGTCCGGCTGTTCTGCAGGCGTTTCAGCACGCACCGCCAAGGCTGTAAGGGCCCAATGGGAGATGGGAGGCCGATCTTGAGGTTATTTTTGGATTTGTGGACTGAGTGGAAATTCTATGCGATTGAGCACAGGGGTTTGGAGGTGTTGGGTGTGGATTGTCTACATATGTCGGCTTTTGGAGAGGCTGGACATGGCGCTCTGAGATTGATTCATTTTTACAAGGACGAGATTTAGAATGGAGATGATGAAATTGTGAAGACAATTTAGACTATTTGGTAATAGAGGGACTCGAGCACTTATAATGGTCTTCTCATGTTCTATTCATCCCGTCTCTGATCAAATGATAGTATAACTTTCTGGGGGAAGACCCCAATGATCTCTTATTAATCTTGGCTAGGTGTGTCACATGACATATGGCCATGTGACCTGAAGGGTGACAGCCTCTAGTTCGTTCCCTTCTTTGCTTCTTCCTTCTCAATTGCAACCCAGATGAGCTCTGCAATATCATGGAGCAACATATCTTCAGTAAAAAAAAAATCGCCCTCTCCTGCTCTTGGTTCACTCAATAACAAAGGCTGGAATGGGATAATTAAATCCCCTCCCTTGATACTTGCTCCCATGTCTCAGGAACACGAGAAAAGAACTTTGCTTGCGGCATTTTGATGACTGCGGAAAGCTTTGAAGGCAAGTCTTAAGAGAAAGCAGCTGAAACTTAGTATGGCTCTAGCGAGAGCGAGTCGGAGTGTGTGAGAGCAAAGCTGAAGAAAAGTCGCTAAAGCTTGACCTCGCATTGGAAGTGAACATGGTTGAAGATCCAGTGGTGTCGTCGTCCTCACTGCCGTTGTTTTTGACCTGACTGGCCTCGTTGACGTCTTCTTAGTTCACAGAGGTCTCCTCGTGCTCTGGTTGAGCGTCTTGAGCAAACCCCTCCTGGTCCTTCAGGGACTCTCCGACTCATCTTGATGCGAACGGCATCTTTGGTCTTGCCCAGTGCGTTGCCGATGGCTTCGTAGTTGAACTGCAGGAAAACAACGTTAGCGGCTATACTCTACTCAGTATCGTATTATAGTAACGGCGCCTCCCTGACCATTTCGCCAGCCAGGTATGGCAGGGCCAGTCGTCTGCGGCGAAGTCGGCAAGAGGGCGAATAGCCTTAGGCGCATCACATCTGTCATCGTAGGTGTCTTTCAGACGATGCCAATCCAACGCACAATGATTCACCATAAACTTGTTAAATGACAACGGCTGGGACAGGGGATCAATGCATGGTTAAAAGCTGTGGATATGCCAATTATATAGGCGGTAGGAGGGTTTTCCTTATCCTTAACTGAACTATGCTAAGCGATCTGGGTGTGACTCTATAGTACAAGCGAATTAGCTGAACCCTTCGTACAAAGGGAGATGCGAAATAGATTCTACCATTCCTTGTGGGTTGGGGTTCGGGTTAGTTATAGGCCTTTTTGGTAGGTGAATCTCGCCGGACTCCTCAAGGGCTGCAGCTTTGAGTATTCCCTCATGAGTGCAATGAGGCATGATGGCTCCATGATCTGCAAGGCTCTTCAATGAGGACAATCTCGGGTTACCTGATCCAGATCAAAGTCATCCTGGCCAATCAACCTAGTCATCGCTGGATGTCTCCTCCTGTTCACCGTCCGGACCCAAGTCCACGAGATCAGAAATATGAGTCCCAGAGGGGGTGGGTCCCCGACTAGCTACGATTGCGGCAGTATTCGATTTCTTGTTTTAAGATGGCCTTAGCGCTCCGTAACTGTTTTCTTAATCCATGGTTTTCGACCCACTGATCTCGGACAAGCATCTCTAAGGTAGAGACTACCTTCCGCTGATCGTCAATCCTTCCTTTGTAATGTTTCATTTTCTTTCGCACGAGGTCAAGGGGTCTCTTTCCTAAGTAACGTCTGTAGAGACTTCCGTCCGGCGGTGGAGGCCGTGCAAAGAACCACCTTGGCTCAGCTCAAGTAGAACTCCTGCAAAGCGAGCCACCATTTTCGGTAATCTTGCACAAACATCTGATGAAGACTTTATCGATCGTCTTGGCGCCTTCTCGCGCATGGCCATGCTGCCCTCAGTCGAATCCATATTTCTGGTTGACACGGTTGGTGTGTATTCTGGCCAGAAAGTTCCTCCAACGAAAATTTAAGCTGGCCATCGTAGAAGACGTGGCTGATGAAAGTGGGGATGCCGACAGGCGGTTCAATTTGCCTCTCCCATAAGCCCAACCATGCCTCCTCAATCGGTGCCTTTGGGTATCTCGCTTTTTCCGATGGCCGTCCCAACAGCCTTTTAGTCGCACTAGAGGAAACCATAGAGTCAGTATTAATCAATATCCAGAGACAGGGACCGAGTAAGGCAGGGAAGACTGACCTTAGCGCCACTACTTTGGATCGCCTGAAAGGAAGACTCCATTCTCAGTAAAGGTCTTCCTCCGAGTGGCTGTTAGGGCTTTGGTCTTCTTGACCTTCGACTGAAGATGGTCTTGGCCGAACCATGGGGTCTTGGCCGGCTGCTTTCCCTTCTTTAAAGTTGAAAATACGAATTAGCAGAATGGAAAACAATGCTGCTAATGAAATAATGCGACAAGTGATAGAGATAAGTGAGAGCGAGAAGTATAAATAGGAAAGCATTTAGGCGTTTTAATATCTGTGGCTGCTTTGAGCAAACATTGCCCAGGGAAACGGGGAGTTCTCCCTATGTGTGGATCTCACGCAAAATAAACATATAGGAACTGTTAGGTATAGAGGTACAGCAAAAACTAAGCTAAAAGGATTAGGGATCTTGCATCGAACAGGAATGGAAAGAGGATTTTGAACCCGTGAGGTGCAGAGGTAGAAAGAAGCAAGGGGTATGATTAATCAGTCTGGTTCAAATGTGGCTTCTCGTTGAGCTTGATCTTGGTTTCGTTGCTGTTGCGCATGGGCAGGACAATGTTGTGGGCTCCCAGTCCGATGAAGATTAGCATAGCACGTCTTCAAAACATCGTCGCCTGAGATACAGTCACAGTGGCCAAAGGGCAACTGAAAGTTTTGGCTGAGGACATAAGGATATTGGTCCATCAAGTCAATTGACTGGTCCAGGTACTTGGCCGATGGTTTGTTGGAAGCGCTGTTGGATGTCATGTTCATCACTGACAGAAACAATCTCGGGATCGATCTGGTGCGGGCCGGGATCTGTTCCATTGTTGCATATAATCTCCCTCCCCCCCCCCCCCC